ACGTATACATTATGAGAAAATACATATAGTGTACAACTGATGTAAGTACACACCTGCGCGATATCACTTAAAAGTCAAATGATTCAAAATTGAATTGTCTCTCAATAGTTTAAATTCTAAATTAAACAGTTTAGGAAGCTCAGTGACCACAAAAAAGTCAGTGAAAACCATCAGGGCCATAGTGGCCACGCTCCTAAAATGACACCAGTGGCAGTTAAAGGGTAAAATGGTCTGCACTTATATAGCGCTTTTCTACCTTTGCGGCACTCAAAGCGCTTTACACACATTCATACACCAATGGCAACAGAGCTGCCATGCAAGGCGCTAATCTGCCATTGGGAGCCATTTGGGGTTCAGTGCCCAAGGACACTTCAGCATGTGGGAGAAACCGGGGATCGAACCGCCAACCTTGCCATCAGTGGACAACCCGCTCTACCACCTGAGCCACAGCTGCCCCAAGTTCACTGCTGTCCCATTGTAGCTGTAAAGAATGAACAGGCAAGTGCTTTAGACTTGGTATAGGGGTAATCAGTAGAAGACTTGAGTCTCTTTAACAGCTCAGACAGCGAGCAGGACGGTTCATCATGTCAGCCTCAACTGACAGCATCCAGAACAAAACTTTTTCTTGCTCTTCAGCATGAAACTGCAAGATTGCATTTTTCTAAAGGACATGATGAACATTGGGAGCACATTCTTTGGCCAGATAAGACAATGATAAATTTGTTTGGCTCAGATAGGGTCCACCATGTTCGGTGTGAACCTGCCCAGGACTACCACTGAATGCATAGTCCTGACAGTAAAGCACAGAGATGGAAATGTAGTTATATGGAGCTGCATGATTGCAAAAGATGTTGGGGAGATGACTTTTGTAGATGTCACCATGAATGCCTGTGAGTATATATCAAGATGACTCCCAGTCTGGAGACGCTTGACAGAAGAGCAATATTTCAGCAGGATAACCATCCAAAGCAAACTGCCAGAATCACACAAGAGTTTCATACTTTGTTGTGGGGAAAGTGCTGAAAATGTAGAACAAATAGACATCTTGGTAAAAACTGATATGTTATATGTATCACCAGAAGTCTCACCCTTTTGATAGAATAATTGTAATTGAATATCTTCAGGTAATTGGAACACATCCTGTTTCCTTCCTTAAAGTCCTGATGGGCATTTCTGACAATTCTCTGAAATTTCACAACAAAATAGTGTGTTAATAACCATTCTCATGTTTCATTAATCTGACGGCCCAGATATACATTAACAGAAGTGATTGTGTTTACATTACATCGACAGTCTGCATATGCGGCCATGTGTATGGTCTGTGTTCATGCCAGGCAGATTCAAGTTCCACACACACTGTATTGGTTTGACAGCAAGCTAAACATTCCATGTGACAAAAAAAAAAGAGTTCAGGTAAAGTAAAAGACTGATTTTTGTTCAGACAGCTACATCTTGTCCATATGAATGAAAACAGGAAGCAAAATTATTCCAACTATGGCCCCACCTCACTTCCTAATTTTCCCCGTAGAGCATTCTTCTGTGACAGACTTTGATAGTCCGACTTGTTTAGCCAACATGCTACAGTCTCTGTGGAGGAAGCCGTTCTCCCAGCTCTCTAAAATGAGGCCCAGATGAGCCTCGTCCACGCCAGTCAACAGTCTGCCTACTGACCCCACAGGGGACGCCCCTGTTTCTAAAATTACACCCTTCCAAACTGTCATTTCCTTTTGCAAAAGAGTTTCAATGGGACAAATTAGCACAGATAGTTAACATATGGGCCCCAAATGGAGGCTAGGAGGGGTGGAAAGTGAGGACTGGGCATGAATTTGGTCATTAGGTGTGTGTTTGTGTGTGTCTGTGTGTGCTTGTGTGTGTCTGTGTGTGTCTATGTGTGCCTGTGTCATTTGTGCACATTAATCCACATGTACAGGCGTGTAGAATTCAGGAATGCAAACTGTTGTCTGTGGGTCTTTGGTTGTCTGTCTGGCTATAGGTGTGTGTGTGTGTGTGTGTGTGTGTGTGTGTCAGAGAGAGAGAGGCATGTTCACAGCAGGTGGAAAAGCATTTGTTGACAGTTGAGCTGTTTCTCCGAACAGCCTTCTCATTGTTTGAGTCCATCTTGATGCGATGCTCTCCACCTCAAGCATCTTGTTTTTATTCTCCATGCGTCTCAGTGAATCCATCAAAAGAGCAAAAAACATTGCTCAGCTTGCTTCTCCTCCTCAAACACACAGTTTATTCTCATCATATGGTCTCACAGCCGTATGTGTGTCGCTGCTGACACATCCCCACCTCGCTCATACCAGAGCCCAAAAGACAAGCTTCTTTTTTTCATCTCCGCATACCGCTGCAGTGATGGATAGGTGTTTCACGTTTCTCTGGAACCCTCTGCTGAATTTTCCACAGCAGAGCCGGACTGCTTGTTTGGCCTTGGCAGCCAGCTTTAATGCCACGACCAGCCCTATAAACAGCCTGCAACATACACACACCTCTTGTCCTACTTTGACTTTTGTTCTGCATGTATATGAGTACGTGCTTGGCTTTGGTCCCATGTGGCCATATGTTTGTATTGATTATGTTCTCACTATGTGTGTATAACATGCATTTGCTCCATGAAATGAGACTCTTGGGCAGGTATTCGTCCTTGACTGTGTGTTATTTTGTGTAACCTAAAAGATAATTGGTACATGCGTTTTTAGGAGTACCTACACATGCCTCAGCCCACACAAACTCCAAGAGACAAGCTGGGCATGAAAATGTCTCCTGTGTTTTTGTCTTGCATGCCTGTGGAAGTCTAATTCTCAGAGGCAACCAGTTTAAAGGAGTTCCAGGTTGCTTCCTGGACACTTTCCTTGTAGCCTACCTGACCAGTAGTTTGGTGGTATTTCAGTCACCGTCCTTGCAGCACCTCAGGACATGTGCTGCTCAAAGGCCTGACATTCTGAGAACAGTGGCAGCCACAAAGGAGCCCAGAGGTCTTGCAGATTGAACAGATGGAGCTTACTTGCATGCCTTTTACTCAGTGTCTTCTGGTGTGAATTTTGGACTTGGCTATATTCAGAATGACAATAGCATAGTGCCGTGGGTTGGGCTCCTATAGCCTGTTACGGTTTGGATCTGGGCTTTGTGTTAAGTTTAGGTATCAACTCGACCAGTGCTGAGAATACAATGTACCGTGGCCGTGAGAACACCCCTGTGCAACATGTCTTAAATGTCAAATGATTCAAAATCGTATCACATCTCAATAACTGCCATTGAACGCTGTGTTAGTTTTACAGAGCAGAGTCAGTCAACAGTTGGATTTTATGTTGCGTAGAGCAGGGGTTCTCAACTGGTGGGTCGCGACCCAAAAGTGGGTCGCGGACCTGTTCTGGGTGGGTCGCGGACAGCTGGTCAAAATTAAATAATATATAATGTGTGTCTCAGGTTGGACTTATTTTTTATTTTCAAAAAACTTTTATTTTGACAGGCATGGTAACCATAGTTTGTTTGACGTTCATTTGAAGTTTGTGTTGATGTTGGGATGCAAGATGGCAAAGTGTAAATATGACCCAGAGTATTGAAAAAGTTGATTTTCATGCGAGGGCTGGACCCGAATAGCCAACTATTCATTTGCTATGCTGGAATCGGGAAATCATATATATGTTTTGTGCCCTTTTTTCTTTTGTGCAGTATTGTACATGCAGTTGTCATGGTCCAGTTACTATGCATGGTTGTATGCTCTGAAATACACGTTGCAGAGGAAACTATATTGAATTCTTAAAAAAAATTGGGTCGCGACTCAATGACCATGTGGGTCCCAGGGTGACACCAGTTGAGAACCCCTGGCGTAGAGTTAACTAGCCGCATCAAATCACATTCAATACATTTATTCAACAAACTCAAAATGCCACTAAAATATTTTCGGTTGTATAGGCAGAGAAAAGGAGACATTCGTGTTTAAGAGAACTCTAAAACAATTTTTGCCATAAACCAAGTATGTAAGAAGCTCGCTGCGGCTAACAAGCTGCTTGCTGTTGTCATATGTGTAATGGACAGACATGAGACCGGGTCAGTCTTCTCATTTATTTCTCAGGCAGAGAAAGCAGCATATTACCCAAAGTAAGCTTTGACTTGAAAACAAATGTTGCGTTAAGTTATGTTGGCGTTTTCCAAAGAACTGAACTCCAGCTATCCGTTTGGCCAAAACAAAGAAAGCGATTGCGTTCTTTGGTCAGTAGCAGGCACTGCTGCTCTGCCCGTTTCGATCCGTCGCAGCCCATCCACCTCGTATCTCATTCAGGTCTTAGTCGTGTCCTTCCCTCGTGTCAGCTATGGCTGTGTTATGACACTAGAGAAGGAAAGACTATCAGCTTGTAAACAAGGTTAATTTTAGCATGCATGGGGTGACTGGCCACAATCTCCATCAACCGGTGCACACTGTAAGCGGGATGGAGGGAACTGTGTGTGGGCAAAAACAAAATTTTGGTAGCTCATTTCCTGGCTGGGTAGGTAATGATTTGAAAATATTTGATTTCAGGTTTATCGGTCATCTGCTGGCCTGGGAGCTGTTTATGTTCAAATTTTGCAGTCGGTAATGGAAAGAGAAAAAGATGGAGATGTTGCGTAACGCGTGCATAAAAATAGCAACCAACTGTCCAAATCAAATAAGTCAGGGGTCATCATTCCTACCGGGAGAGTTTATCCGTGACATAATGCGGCTAGAGAACGAAATTATGATAATTATTAATGATAATATGCTCAGTAATTACATTATTTTTCATAATAAAGTTACAGCTGTAAAACAAATTAAACTTCGCAGTTATAATAACAACTCTTGATCTGTCATAATGGGGAACCTTAAAACTTCCTGCATTAACTCAAATATACAATGTTACGTAATGCGAGACTGAAAGATTATCATAACAACGCGACCATCCATGTTCCACAGTTTTAATAACTTTCCATGACACTAATGTTGCTGCTGTCTGTGTGTGTCTGTGTGTGTGTGTGTTTCACAGATGTGGCCGCTCTGCTGTGTACCGGACCAGAGAAATGGCAGCCCGGGCTCTCGTCCCCTTTGTGCTGGTCACCCAGGTCCCATCCACTGTCTGCTCTTTAGTGCAGGAGCTTCCTCTACAACCGGGACCCAAAATCCAGCACAACCACATCCATGGGACTCTGCTGCAGGTCTGCTCCCACGCATATCAACTTAAACCAGTACACACACACACATTACCTATACATAACACTCAGTGGGGGGGCTATAATCACAAGTGGTTTGAATGACCATAAGTATTCATTTGGAGCTGGACTCAAAACCTCAATCGTAAGAGTGTCGGTGCAGGACTTTCCAGTATGTTTTTCTCAACAGGACAGTCTGCTGTACTTCATACAAATTAACACAGATCTACGCAGACCCACACTTAACCTGGGTTGCATGTGTCATATGGATAAGACCACCTAACATATATATTTCTAACGAATAACTCCTTGACTAGCTTTTTCTGGGACTATCAGCTGCTTTACATTACCTCACTCATTTGCCATGCTGCTGATTGACATGAAAAATAACTATTCAAACTATAATTCGAAGGTCAATGAGGAGCTTTCACTCTCTACATGTACAGTGTGTCTTTTGAGATTATCGCAATATGTTTTTGATCACGTGTTATGTCATGCCATATGTCATAATTCATGTAACACCTCACAACACACTTCAAAACCTGTGGCTTCCCACTTTGCAGGCAGTCCCTGTCACTCCCACTCCCTTCCATGCTTCCCTCTGGGGAGCCACACAGTCAGAGTCTACATACCAAACATTAATGCTGTACATATACTACATTTACATTAGCATCTATTCCACATTTGCTGGCTGACTGGACATTAGTGCAGTTGGTCGGCATTAAATCTGAATTTATAACTTGATTAATCCCTTAGTTGACAGAAAGTGTTGATGTTTTTACTTAATTCGTGAATCATTTAAGTAAGTTCTTAAACCAAACTAGTGAAATCAGATCTTATAAATCAGACACATACAGTGTGTAGTTTTAGTTCCACTCTGGTCCATTGCATTTGTAAAAATGTCTGATTTCATTTGTTTCTGTATGAATGAGTCTTCTTGTTGTATTATTTCATGCATGTGGACGTGGACGCACATTAACGCTGGTGACCTGGTCAGTGGGTTCACTATTGTATTGATATACTGGTGGCGATAAAATGCCAAGACATTCAGACATGCAGTGTTGAAAAGCTGAAGAACTAGATTGTCTTTAACGTGGCAATACGAATGTCACATATCTATATACAGCTGCTTCAGAAAGTATTCAGACTCTGTCACTTTTTGCTTACTTAATTCCCAATTCCCAATTGGATTGTTGGGTTCTCTGTGTAAATCTGTAAGGTCTATACCTTACTTTGTTAAGCGCTATGTGATGACATATGTTGTAAACTGCGCTATACAAATAAAATTGAATCGACTTAATTTTGTTGTAAATGCATTTTTCAATAGATGAAAAACTGTTCTTTGAACAGACTTTCAGAAGTCCTCTACAGAGGTAGCTGAGCCCTGCCAGAGGGACCTCAGTTGCACTCAGTCAATCTGGCAGGCAAGGTCAGAGCAGTTAGACAGAAACTACCCTGGATAAAAGGAATGACAGTCTGTTTGAAGTTTTCTAGTCAGCATTTAAATCTCTGATTCTCTGACAAAGAAAGATTCTCTGGTGAGTTGAGACAGGAATCAAACTATTTGTGGACCACGCGGTTGAGCGAAGCTTACCGTCCAAATATCTGGCAAGTACCATCCCTATGATGAAGCATGGTGGTGGCACTATCATGCTATGGGAGTGTTTTTTTACTCGCAGTGACAGAGATGTACTGGTCAGAGTTGGGAAGAATGCCAGTGACCTGAAGCATATAGCCAAGACAACACCGGAGTGACTTCAGAAGTCTCTGACTTTACTTAAGTGGCTCGGCTAAAATCCAGACTTAAACCTCACATAACATCTGTGAAGAGACCATCAATCGGACTGATCTTTACAGGATCAACCGTGAACAATGGGACAAACTTCCCAAATTAAATGGTGCAAAGCTTGTAGAGATTTTTAGAGACACATCTAAGCTGTAGCTTCTGCAAAGTACTGAATTAAGTGTCTAAATATTTTTCTGAGAAGTTTTCGTATTTTATTGACTTCATAAATTCTATAAAATTTCTAAAACCCACTTTCACTTTGTTGTTTTGGATAAGTGTAGATTGATGGGATAAAATGTTGGTTTTATGAATTTGAATTTAAATCTACAGCATAAAAAAATGAAAGGAGCTGAATACTTCCTGTAGTAACTTTACATCTACACTCTACATACAGTTTATGTATACTTGTGTGCACAGCATGAATACTCACACATCTCTGGTAGATGATAACAGCTGCATCTCCATAACATAAACTCAGTACCAATGAAAGCATGCTTGTATGTGCTGTTTGGATCTTTCTAGCCTTCACATGTCCTCAGTTCATTGATGAGTTTGTAATAATTTAATCCAAGTTTAAACAAGAAAATCGTCACAGCTGGACTGAAGTTGTGATGTATGTTTTTAAAAATTATAGACTGCAATAACCAAAGCAGTTATCACAACACTGCAGAGCTTTATACATGCGGCGCATCACACCTCACATTCTCCGTCAATCCCACACACTCAGTTTCCACACAGAGCCTGTCCAGACAAGGCGGTTATCACAGGGTAAATACCAGTGTTTAGTTCTGTCATCACACTCTGACAAACACAACCAAACAGTCTGCCGGTAATATCAACACACGCAGAGGAAAAGGGGAGAGGGAGTTTCCCCGGCCTTTTATTTAACACCACTGATGGGGTCGGTGAGGGAGCTGGTGGGAGTGGAGCGGTAGACCCAGGGGTCAAAGACAAAGGACGAAAACTGCATCGCTTTCTTGAGGATGAGATGGAACACTTATGGTTTGATAGCGGTCGGAGCTGCAGGGAGGTCTGCTGTGGGATGAAGGCATGGATGGAGGAGGGGAGGTTGGCCTCTTAAAGGCTTAGAGGAGATTTCAGGAGGAGAGTGGTTTTTAGTTTGCTTTCCTGTCATGGCCGCCACATGTGGAGCTTCCCCAGATGTCTCCTGATCTTGTCTCTTCTTGTCCATGTTCATCTATTTTTCTCGTTGTTTCTGCGTTTCTCTGCTTCCTGTCTGTCTTTTTGTTTTGTATTTTTTTGGAGGGGTGTGTTTGTACAATCTCCTGTTTCTCCTGTTTTTTCTCACGTCTATTTCACCTCTGACTCCTCTTAGAGTACAAAAGGCTGAGATCGTATTGTGCCGTGTCCTGTGTAATTTACACTGTTATGTAATGGGTGTTGTATGGCGAGGTAACTTCTTTGTCCTATCACGTGTCTCTTCACTATTTCTGTCATTTGTCATGTATGTACTATATCACCCGCTACTTGTTGTCAATTTGTTGGACAGCATCACTGTATCCACCCTATAGTTGTAGTTATATTAACATTTAGACAACATTGGACACGTCATTTTTAATTTGCAAAAGTGCTGCAGTCCACTAGTCTAAAATCCTTGAAGTCCTTGTACAACCAAAGCTGTGTTTGTGTTCTTGGTACAAAGTAAAACATGGGTCCAGTTGGTGTTGGGAGTCCACCAGGGTCGCCCCGTGTCTCTGATCCTATCTGTGATATTCATGGATGGATGTCAAGGTGCATCCTGGTGAGGAGGGTGTCCGGTTTGAGAACCAAGCAAAGGAGTTTAGGTGTCTTGGGATCTTGTTCTCGAATGATGGGACAATGAAGTCTGAGGTAGCAGGTGTCAGCAGTAATGCAGGTGTTGTACTGGACCGTCACAATAAACGAGGGAACTGAGTCGGAAAGGAAAGGTCTCGATTTACCAGCTCTCACCTATGGTCATAACCTCTAGATGGGGACAAAAGAGTGAGGATACAAGAAGAGTTTCCGCCATAGGGTGGCTGGACTCAGATATCTGGAGGGTTCTTTGAGCACAGTCGCTGCTCCATTACGAGCCTGGGGTGGTTCGAACATTTAATCTGGATGCCTCCTGCCGTAGAGCACCTTCCTTTGTAGGTTTCCCAGGCACATCCACCTGGAAAGAGAATCCAGGGTAGACCTCGGACTCGCTGGAGAGGTTGCATATCTCATCTGGCCTGGGAATTCCTAGAAATTTTCCAGGAGGAGCTGAAAAACGTTGCCCCGCATTCTTAGTTACCGTTGCTGTGTTGACATCTTTTGGTCAACATCATAAAAATGTCACTCATCTATTTGTTTGTTTTGGATTTTATAAGTGGAATAAACAGCAGCACTCCCACTAAGGCGATAAGAGACACACCTGGCTCATCTTTCACCAGGTTTTGATCTTTATCTTCGTATTTTGTGGATGTAGGCATTTGAGCAGACAGAGGATGCTGCTGTTTATGCTGAACTGTAAAAAGAGACAGTACTTAGGGTTTATTTTTTTTGTCTCTTACATTGTTTTCTTTAACTTTTTTCCGTCTCATTCATGAGGGAGAATTAAGATGTGAGGTACGTCACATTTGCACAGACATGAAAATATCTGTACGAGATACAGTACAGCTGATGCCTGCAGGCATTCCTGAGAGATTTAATTTCCTTTTTCCTGCCACCAAAAGCGCAACCAGGCTATTATACCTCACACACTGTCCATTCAGTTTCTCTACTTCTGCAGCATGAATACAGACTGGAAAACCTCATCTCAGCACAAATACGCCCAAATCAAATCAAAATAACCCGTTTCACATTCTCAGCGCGTTGATGTTATTGTAGCATAGTGGTGGTCACAGAAGTTGGTGAATACTAATTTACATCACTTTGACTCCTTCATGTACATTAAAATAGATATATTTAGTGCATGATATGTATGTAAAATCTAAAGTGAAGAACAGCTGCACTTTATTACCTTGTTAGACTTTCAGTAACTCTAATCAGACATCTGTGGCAATTAGTAATCAAATTAGATTTAGATATAGTTAACAAAGCTTTCAGTATCTCCTGAACACAAAACTAGAATTCTGACAGCAGTCCTGACTGTGCTGTATATCTGCAAGGCCTATCTCTACCTGGGCTGTAGATAGCGGGTGGGTAGGTAGGAGGGCGAGGGCACCGTGGAGATGATGGAGGCAGATATGTGCGGAGT